AAAAAAAAAAAAAAAAAAGAAAGAAAGAAAGAAGTTTACCTTAGCCTTGTGATTGAACTTGCTTTCATCACATTTTACGACAGAACACGGGCCTCCAAATGGTATGATGGGTCTATCGGCCAAATCTCTCGAACACACGTCTTGCAGTAGCCTTAAAATATTTGAAATTAACCCATGGTTGACATCTAACCTGCGCGCGGTAATCCTCTGCGAATCATCAGCAATGAAATAATAGATGGAGAGGAGAAGAGTCCCTAGTGCCACGCGAGGGAACTCTTCGAAAAAGCTGTTTGTACGCAGGCTTCTTTTCTTCCTACATCCACTGCAACGCGCCTAGGAGACGGAAAAGAAGTTTGGGAGTAAAACACGAAAATCAATCTCACGACTAAGTCCATAAAGTGAAAGCGCTCACGATTCGATCGTTCTATGACAAACGATGTTAAACAAAAGAACAACGGTCCCGGTGAGTATTCCTCGGAATTCTTGGAGGAGGCGTGCCTCCGAGTTCTCCAAATGCTGACCTGGCCTCGAAATTAGTGATGTCATTGTTAGTTAGCCTAAAAAAGCAACAATGAAGATTTCTTAAAAGCCATTTCGAATTGGCATGTTTCCTCTTTCTTTTTTACTTATATTTGGAATTACTAAAACGATAAATAAGTTCGTAATACTCTCCCGGCTAGATCCCTCGAAAACCATACCCGATTTGAAACCAAAATGAACAAAGTACTTATTCCGAGCCAAAACGGCGCCAAAACCCCACCCTTTTGGGCAGCACATACCTATATGGCTTATACAGGGGAGTACACAACATATCTCATTTATTTTGCTTTTTTTCATATATTATTATATATATTTTTTCAAGTTTAGTTTGCGAAACGGTTTTGGCCGTCCGCTTGTAGATCCCTTACAGCCCGAGCAAAAAAGCCGACTTTCACCGGTGCAATCAGGGGCTACCGTGCCGGAAACCAGTATTCGCGCAGCAAAATCAGTTTCGGCTTATTTCTAATTCTCAACTCTTTGAACTTTGACTATACTTATACGAATTGGCCTTGGATCAAACGAGGATATTTACGTTACTGATCAACGTCTTGAGTTCCTCTATTTTGGTCGGCGATAAAAGTAGCATTGATGATCAATCGCATTATCAACATTTTTTGATCATTTCATCTTAAAGTTAACGAAAAATTGAGATTCCGTATAAGTTCTCGTAGATCGGATAGTCGATAGAAATTCTGGACTCAGGCTACTAAATGAGAACTCTTTCCGTTTTATAAAACAACAACAAATACACAAACCAAAAAAAAAAACAAAAAAAAGAAAAAAAAAAAAAAAAAAAAAACAAAAATAAAAAAAAAAAAAAAACAAAAAAAACACAATACCAACATAACATTTCAAATACTTGTATATAAATTTCACTAGCTATACCACACACTGGAGTCTCAGACTACCGG